ATCTATTCTGAGTGGATTCAAAGAATGGAAATATATATATTGCCTTCATTAAACAATTCTTCAGTGCTGCTTCATAACTGCGATGAGGAATCAAATACGGAACACTGAACCATAATGAAAAAGTAGGACATATCCCTAAATAAAATAAAATAAAATACAACTGATGGGCTAAGTATTACCAAATGAATGTAACAGATAATGATTCAATGGTATAATATTATTTAGTTAGAGCTGCAGAAACTTTTTACCTCTTTGTGAAGGTCAGAAGAAAGTCTTTCTTTGCTGTAGCAGTTGATGCAGAATCTTGCTATGATTACATGCCTGATATCTTCTGTATTAAATTCCCCTAGGGAGGTGTCCTGAGATTCAGTTATTTAACTTTGAAAAAGGAGAGGGGGGAAAAACCTCATATGGAATCCTCTGAGGAAAAGTACTTTGATTTGTTGTGCCTTTCTTGAGCATCTCAGAAGAGGAAGAGCTATTAGTTTCTTTTGTGAAAATGAGAGCAAAAGGGATTCTTATTTATCTCGTAGTACATTTTCAGCCCATATTTCCTCCAAGGACGGTATACATGGTTCTCCTCACCTTCATTTCATCCTCACAACAGTTCTGTGAGGTAGGCTAGGCTAAGAGAGATTGACTGGCCCAAGGTCATCCAATAAGTTCTTGGCAAGTCAGGATTTACCTCAGGATCCCAGGTCTTAGTCCAATGGTCTAACTACTACACTACACTGACTCCCTCCTTGGGACTGGGTTCAAGCAGGGACATACTTCCTAAGTGAGAATGAAGGGGGAAGAAAATGGACAGCATACATAGAAAAATAATGGCTCTTCTTGAGCTACCTTTACTTTAATGATACTGCTCTTACAGCCAATTCAGCTCTGAACTGTGTCCAAAAAGACCAAAAAGAAAAGAAAAAAATAAAAGAAGGACATTTATTTAATGTATATAATATAACATTTAGTGATTTTTAATTTTAATCGACTGAGAAGAGAACTTGGCAACTACCAATATAATATTAAAATCCACCCCTCCTAAAAGAAACCTCAAATTATCTAGTTCACATCCAGAGTCCTTGATATAGGGTTTTATCCAACAATCTCTTGCATCATTAAGCAAATCACAGTCAAATATTCAATCTTGGAGGGTGTCTATTTGGCCAGAACCACATTGGTACAGTCTGTCTGCTCCTCTTTTTGAAATTGCTCCTTGCCCCAGCATTTCATTGATTTCAATACAGATTTAAATACTTATTTTACTCCACTATTCAATATGACATTCCATCAGTTTGGCTGAACTAACACTGAAGCCATACACAGTTCCCTGAGGATGTATATAAACGTGTGTGAGATTTATATTAATATGTCTACCCCGATTTTTCCCACAAGTGGGATCAACATGGTTTATAAAAATGTTCCATATTATCAAAGCCACTGTCATAGGTTTGAATTGTATGCTACATAAACAGCAGTGCTGCCGCAAAAAAAAGTAAACCCCCCCACATGTCTGTATTTCCTGAAATTGTGCCCCATGGGTTAGTGGACCCCCAAGAACATCCTGGTGTTCCAGGTAGGGGAACTGCAATAAGAGGATGAAAGTGGCAAAAATTGCCTGCCTCTTGCATTAGTGGATGCAGGGCTTTTTTGGTAGAAAAAGCCCAACAGGAACTCATTAGCATAACAGACCACACCCAACAGCAGACACTCATTAGCATATTAGGCCACACCCCTGACAGCACAGCTCATTAGCATAATAGGCCACACACCCATGTTACCAGAAGTGTGGTCATCTAGCTACACCCACCTTTTGCTTCTTATTTTGTTTACCTTGTTTCTGTCAAAACCCAGGGCTTTTTTTGTAGCAGGCACTCCTTTGCATGTTAGGCCACACACCCCTAATGTAGCCAATCCTAATGAGTTTCTGCTGTTGGGTGTGGCGTATTATGCTAATGAGTTCCTGATGGGCGTGGCCAACTCGGGAGCCAGCCGGAACTCCATTCCTATGCGTTCCTGCCCAAAAAATAGCCCTGAGTGGATGTGATTACTGTAAGCCAAAAGGGAGATTATGATCCAAGCACCAACAAGCAGTTTTAGGCCATTAAATGAGATGAGTAAAAAAAAAAAGATGGGTCCATTTTGATGTAGTAGAGAATTTGGTGAAATCTGTGGCCTATATTTTGGTGAATTTGGTGAAATCTGTGGCCTATATATAGAAAATTTATACATAGGCCAAGCCTAGTTCCAATGAACGCAGAACCGTGCATTATTTGGCTCCTGAAGAAAAGTAAAGGGTGAAGACATATTACATTTTAAAAACAATAGGTTGTTCAACTATTATATGAAGAGTTTCACAAATTATATTACAGATTTACATACTAAAAAGTCAGATTCTGGATCTGTGAATTGTTGTCCAGGATAAAAGAAAAATGTCAGCCCTCATTCTCACCCCTCTCTTTATGTATCAACTGAGCTGTCCATTCCTTGTACACATATTTTTATACATATATAAATTCATTCCTTCACCATACAAAAGACAACTGAAAAACATTCCAAAAGAAAATGAATTTAAAAAGTTCTTTGAGTCCTACAGAGAAAATGTAGTCGTGATGTTATGGCTGCTAGTCAATAGATGCCTGCCACAGAGTCACTGATTTCTCCATTCAGTCTGAAACCTCTGCTGCTTTGAAAGTGCTATATTTGTCTTCACCCAAAGTTTCTCTTTTACTGTTTCCCAGCAACAACAACCTTGTTTCTTTCCACAATAATACCTGCCTGGAAGTGGGAGGAGAGTAGGCATTGGTATTGTTGCCAGTCAGTATCTTTTTTTTTGTGAACAAGAAATCTGTACCTTGAAGGATGTTTAAAGAAATGAAGCCCATGTTACAATAATATTATCTGCTGAACCATATGTACTTCAGAATATCACGTTTGCTGTGTGAAAAAGAATCCCTATAAAAAGTCAGAATTGTTCAACAACAGATTCAGGTCTCAAAATGGAGTCTTGGGCTTAGTTTCTTTGATATTCCAAGGCATTTGAAAGATGCTACTATTTACTGAACACCTGTTAAATGTGCCTACAGGCAATACTTAATAGCTATTGATTGCACTCTTTAGCTAGCAATTTATTGCCTACAATAGCAGTCTGTGGCTATTTACTATGACTTTCTAGGTGCACAAGAGGATGAGATATGCATTAATTAAGAAAAATCCAAGGTATCTTTGAACTTTTCCTTTTCAAATAGGATAATTAAACACAAGAGGATGCGGTTTCTTTTTTAAAAAATACCCCAAATGTCTTACTGAACTATTCTGCTTCAGGTTTAACTTCATATCTGGCCTTCACAATGTTGTGAGGGCAGCAAGAGACCAGAGTTCTAGAAATATTATCTAGAAATATTCCTTTTTCTTAGCTCTCTGAGAGTCCTAAGCAAAGTTATACCCTTCTAAGCCCACTGACTTCAATGGATTTAGAATTGTATAACTCTGTTTAGAATTCCTCTCTAAGTTAATGTTTTAAGACATTCAGAGATTCACAGTTAGGGAGATGCTTAAAAACATGTTAGTGTCAAATTCTTGATAAACTCAAATGTAACACAGCTGATCAATTAATGAACAAAACCACTTTGTTAAACCTGCCCATTATTCACATTCCCCCCTGCCCCATGACAACTGAATGCTGGGTAAATTATTTTCTTGTTTAGCTGTGCTGCATATTACCTGAAAATTCCTGATGAGATACCAGACATGTAAGTAAATGAAGCTGTCTGATTGGGATAAGCAATAAAGCTACTTTCATACAAGGTTCACGGAAACCAGCATAATAACAATACCCGTTTTATTTTTTTGTTAGCTCTTACATTCATACCAATAACCTACTAAGATAAAAGTCTGTCTTTTCCAATAATACTATAATACAAAGATTTAAAGACAGTAAATGGCAGCCTAATGCAGTCATCTAAGTTATCAACTCAGATGTGGACCTGGTGCCCCAATAGAAGCAGAATTCCTTGATAGTGAAAAGAATACAGAAGGCTCTTGTTTGTGCTGATCTCTGGTGTGCAACATAACATTGCTAATTATCTAGAATAATAGTACCGTAGTGTACTGGTACATAGTATTATGTTATGAGAAATAAATTAAATAACTGAAGGTTGCAAGGAGCACACATCTAAACAGAAGGTTGCCCACTGTGTTTCTACTTGATTTATGGCTCTGCCCTTGCCGCCATCCAACCTGTCTTTATTGGGGAAGGCAATTCTGCTGTGGTGTGACTATTATGTGGTAGGCTTCCTTTATGGTGGGCAGTACTTTAGAGACACAGAAAAGAGCATTTTTTCCCAGAGAAAAATGAATATTCAGCTATCCCGCCCCCCCAAGTGTACATCAGCTATCAGACATTGAGGGAAAAACTGGTTTAGAAGGTCTACGGAAAATCTCACACAATGTTTGGTCACTTTGATTCACATTCTGATGTGTCATTCACTCTCACAGCTTCTTACTACTTTTTTTATATAATTCCAACCTATCAGAGATCCTGTAGTGATGTCATGATGTCACAACACTAGTCAGTCTTACAGCTTACCCAGGTTGTGTTTTTTGTAGTCCACATCACCACCACACAATGTAAATAATTCATGTTTCTAGCTACAGCTGTAAATATTACTTCATTGAATTAAAAAGAATTCAGCAATGGAATGCCTAAGACTCTTTCATATGTATAAAATTGCATAACCATAAAATGAAGAATAATGTGACCTACTCTGCTACAGCAGTTAAATACAACTAGCCACCACAATATAGTAATATTTGCACAGTTATTATTCATTTGATTCTCAGGTCCTGGGAACTGTCATAGGGTATAATATTTAATTATACAAACATGACAAGAAAATCACCATTAATCTTTGCTTGATATTGTTCATAGCTCACATAATACAAGAGCAGATGTTTCTTGTTTCTCCAAAGAAGTATTATTGATAGAAATGCAACACATATCATACCTGTACTCATCCTGGGTAAACCGTGGAATTACCGAGGGCTGCAATACAGAAATTTCTACAGTGGTGGTGTTGAACTTCACAGGGTCACCATCATCATAGGCAATGACTACAAGCTATAAACAATAAACACAGTAAACAAATGAATGTGCTGTTTGTAGCAACTGTAACTTTATACACTGCATTTGAAAGTTATCGAATCATCTTAATGATTTGTTCTTATTTAAAGTCCAACATAACAATGAAACAAAACATGGATACCAACTCTAACATCAGCAAAAAATATTGCTTAAAGCATCTGAAATCATTATTCAAAATGCTGTCCTAAATACAAAATTCTACGTATTCCCAAATACAGCAACAGATCAGTGTCAATTATGTAAAAATTCAATGGAAATCACCTCAGTTATGGGTGGAAGCCCCTGAGAAGTTTCACTAGTATAATTTTTTCCTTCCTCTCAAAATGTCTTGGATGTTTCTCATGAATATACAGCTTCTATTCTGGCACCTCACTAAGGACCAAAGCACATGTGATAAGAGGAATCTGTGACTGGAATGTTTTAAACAGGGTTGTCAGGTCCCCCCTGGCAGGAGATGGGTGTGTGTGTGTCAGCTTGCCAGATCCAAGCTTGAAAACCTCTGGAGATTTGGGGATGGAGCCAGGGGATGATAGGGACCTCAGTGGGACACAATGCCAGAGAAGACACCCTCCAGAGCATTCGTTTTTCTCCAGGGGAACTGATCTCTGTAGTCTGGAGATGAGCTGTAATTCTGGGGGATCCCCAGGTCCCACCTGGAGGCTTGGTATCCCTTGTTTTAAGTCTCAGGAAGGGGGAAAGTCAAGTATTAATATAAGGGCATGTCTTCTTTCCTTACCTAGGAAAATGAGGACAGGGTGGACATTTTTGACTGCAGAAATGGTCCAAGGGGGAAAGAGTCAACCCCCCTTCCCCACGTTACTGCCCCAATTTATATTTGTCCGTTCCCTGGAACTGCTGTTCACAGCTGAAATATACACTAAGGATCTATCACCCTGGTATGTTTTTTTATCAACGCCCTTCCAGCCTACGACCCATCCCGAGGGAGGTCTGCAGTGGGGCTAGGATGAAGAACCCCTCCCCGTCATTGGTGCTGTGTAATGCCAGGTCCATTAATAACAACACGACAGTCCTTCGGGACTTCGTCATAGAACAAAAAGCAGACCTGGCGTGCGTGACTGAGACCTGGGTGCGGGACGGGGAGATGGTAGCTCTGTCCCAACTTGCCCCACCAGTGTTTTTGGTCCTACACCAATCACGGACTAAGGGGCGGGGGGGAGGAGTGGCAATGTTCATTCGGGAGGCTTATTCCTTCAGGGCACTCCCCACATTGGAGATTGCGGGCATGGAGTGTGTCGGCTTGGTGCTGGGGACCGAGGAGAGTCTGGCTATCTGGCTAGCGGCCTGCCGTCCCTGCTGGAGGCCATATCAGGCTGGACGCTGGAGCACCCTAGGCTTATACTCTTGGGTGACTTCAACGTCCATGCCAATGACGCGGCCTCCAGCCGGACTGCGGACCTGGTGTCATCTATGGCGGCACTGGGACTCTCCCAATTCGTATCGATTCCCACTCACCAGGCCGGGCACACACTCAATCTGATCTTCACTGTGGGGATTACAGTGGACCAGATTACTGCAAAGGCAGTACACCATGGTCGGACCACTATGCCCTGAAAGCTCGTCTAAATGTTCCACCCCACCCCTGTTTAGGCGGCAAGCAGATTTTAGCTCGCCCGCGGAGCCAAATGGACCCAGTACGGCTTCAAATGGCTCTGCAGGATCTGATGCCCCCTGGCGGCTCATTAGATGAGCTTGTGGAGGACTGGCATAGCCAACTCTCCACAGCCATTGATGAGATCGCTCGTCGGAGCCCTTTGCACGTGCGTTCTAGGCTTGCCCCCTGGTATATCCAGGAGTTGCGGCTGATGAAGCAAGAGCTAAGACGGCTAGAGAGACGGTGGCAGCGTGCCTGCGACGAAGCATCAAGAACATCCTATAGGACGTTTATGAGATCCTATGAGGTGGCAGTCAAGGCTGCTAAGAGAGAATTCTATGCAGCCACAGTTGTGTCTGCGAGCTCACGCCCAGCCCAATTGTTTAGAACAATTCGGTCTTTAACAGCTCTGCCACAAGGCAGACAAAATAGTAGGGAATTGGATATCGGCTGTGAGATTTTTGTGAGCTATTTCACGGACAAAGTCTTGGCGCTCCGCCACGACCTTCCCACCACAGTTGAAACAGTGAGCGAGCTCGAGACTCCATGCACATCTTTGACTTCAACCCTGGATCAATTCAGCCTGCTCAAGTTGACAGATTGCTCACGACCATACGTCAACCACGTGCATCCTGGACCCGTACCCTTTTGACTCACCCAGGATTATTCTCATCAACACCTATGTCCATTTCCCCTAGACCCACTTCCCTTGATTAATTGACAGTTAAGTAACACTTAAGCCTATTCACCTTACCCATTAGCCCTAACCGTCCAACATTTACAGGGTCTTCGAGCCTCTTCCCACCTTTCGTCCACCTCCAGTAAACCCATCAAGTTATTGTTTGATTGAGAGGGCGGTGGCGACACAGCTTCAGGGCTTCCTGGATGATGCTTCTGTCCTTGATCCACTCCAGTCCGGCTTCCGCCCGGGATATAGGATGGAGACGGCGCTAGTTGCCCTTACTGACGATCTCCGTAGGCATCTGGATCGAGGCGGTGTGGCGGCACTGTTGTTGTTAGATCTGTCGGCCACGTTTGATACGGTCGACCACCAGTTGCTGACTCACCGTCTCACTGACGTGGGGATTCAGGGGCTCACCCTTCAATGGCTTGCCTCTTTTCTCCAAGGTCGGGGACAAAGGGTGGCGATAGGGAAACCGCAGCCCCAGAGGCACCTACTTGAGTGTGGTGTGCCTCAGGGGGCGGTGCTTTCCCCGATGTTGTTTAACATCTACATGCGCCCCCTCGCCCAGATTGCCAGGAGTTATGGGTTGGGTTGTCATCAATACGCAGATGACACCCAGCTCTATCTGATGTTGGGCAGCCGGTCGGGTTCCGACCCAGAAGATCTGAACCAGGCGTTACAGGCAGTGGCTGGATGGCTCAGGCTGAGCCGGCTGAAGCTAAACCAAGTGAAGACGGAGGTCCTGTGCCTGAGTCGGAACGGTTCGGGGTTGGGGCTCCCTCTCCCGACCTTCGATGGGGCACCGTTGGTGCCAGCGCCAGAGGTTAGGAGTTTGGGAGTGCTCCTGGATCCCTCCTTAACTATGGAGGCCCAGGTGGCAGCCACTGCCAGATCTGCATTTTACCATCTTAGGCAGGGTTGGCAGGTGGTTCCCTTCCTCGACCGCGCTACAGTGATCCATGCGACGGTCACCTCAAGGCTGGACTACTGTAACGCTCTCTACATGGGGCTGCCTTTGTCACAGATCCGGAAGCTGCAGCTAGTGCAGAATGCGACAGCCAGGCTGTTGATGGGTTTCCCCAAATGGGAGCACATCCAGCCTGGGCTGAAAGCGCTGCACTGGCTGCCAATAGCATACCAGATTCACTTCGAAGTGCTGGTTCTTTCCTTTAAAGCCCTATATGACCCGAGGGACCGCCTTTCCCCTTACATACCCCCAAGAGCACTTCGGTCGGGGACGCAACATTGCCTGGTGATTCCAGGCCCCCGGAAGGTAAATCTTGCTGTGACCAGGGCCAGATTCTTCTCAGTGGCGCCCCCCACCTGGTGGAATGAGCTCCCGGAGGAGATCAGGGCCCTGCGGGACCTTATACAGTTCCGCAGGGTCTGCAAGGCAGAGGTCTTCTGCCAGGCTTTTATGTAGGGGCCGCCACTTCTACTACCACCACCACTAAAACAACGGGGTTGGGAGTGGTCCCCGAAAGAACGGCCATACATTTGCATGGCACTGATGCTGCTGGACTGGCTTGGACCATCGACAGGACAATTTCACCTAAGGAAATTATTGTTACCATCCTCAGATACCATTTATTTATTTATTTATTTTGAGATTTCTATCCCGCCCTACCCAGTGGCTCAGGGCGGCTAACAACAACATATAAATACTAAAACAATAAAATAATTTTACATACAATAAAAACTGGTGCTTCAATCTATACGATCTATACCATTTACAAAATGCTCGGCGACTTATTTGCTGCCTATGATCTTGATAATGAGAGCGTCCCAGCGCAAACAAACTAATCGGCCTTCATGGGGTCTGGTAGATGGATGATACAGCGGAGGTGGTGTAGCGATGGTGGTGGCGGCGGCTCCTACCCAAAGGCCTGGTGGAAGAGCTCCGTCAGGCCCATCTTGTCTGTATGGAGCACTTTATCTGTTTGTTGTGATTTAATGGTTTTTACTGTTTTATATTGTTTTATGTATGGGCTTATGCCCCTGTGTAAGCCGCCCTGAGCCCGTTCGCGGGGAGGGGGGGATAAAAATGCAAATAAATAAATAAATAAAACAAAATCATATCCTCTAAGGAGTTGGGTCTTCCCCCTGCAGTCTAACACTCTGACCTCTATGCTACAGTGACTGGATATCCAAAATCATATGTGCTTTGAACACAATTAGGCCCTTACCTATTTGTTCAAGGCACAGTGAAATGGATACTGTGACTTTCCAATGTAGAAATCATTCATTTGAATGGAGGCAGTAGATCTGCAAGTGGCTCTCCGATGGAATGAACAGAACAACTTTGGGAAGTAGAGGTGAAGGAAAGAAATCCTAATATTGGGGAGTGTCTAATGCAAAATTTGTTGAAGATTGTTACAATTTTCTAGGAATGTTGTTCCAGTCAGCTCAATCTGAGGACAATCCTGTGAATTACTACAAGGCACAAAGTATCAGGATAAGGAAAGAATGAGTAATCGTGCTGATATAACTGTATCTTAGGTTTTCATTTCCAATATTTTAACTCAGATACAAATAGCTTAGTGAATTAATATTAATATCAATACACAGTAAATTTGCCTCCTCTAGATATTATCTTAATATTGACTGAATTACTGGAAGGAACATACATCTGAAATTTTTAATGTTCCCAGAATAATATTTTATTTTACAGAGTATTAATGACAACGCTGTTTCCCTAGCAGGGACATCATAACTTTTCAGAGCTACAGGGCCATGTTTCTTCCCATTATTTAAAAAAAGGGGAGGCTTCTTGTCTTTCATAGTTTCAAGCCTATTTATAAACAAACAAAAACGGCTTAAGGTTATGTAAACAGATGGTGTTTTCCAGTGAAACAGATGACATGTTTAAAACAGGTTTAAAGTAATCAGAATTGTCAAAAGATACATTTTTGGTTTGATGAAAAAATAATTAAATTACAATTGGGAAAAAGTGTGATTAAAATGAAACACAACCCAACAAGGCAGACGGGAAACATTAATTGTCCTAATGTGAATCTGATCAGAACCTCCCCTTGCACCTGCACACACACCAGGTTAAGCTTAGTATTGTTTTTATTAATTGTTTATGGCAATCTGAGGTTTTAAACCTGCAGCATCATTTCCAGTGCTACCAGATACTTACATGGCACTGCTAAATAGAGTTATACCCTCCAAAGCCCATTGACTTAAAAGGACTTAGGACTCAAAAAATATGCATGATGTGTGTTGGTTCACAGGTGTGCAACCAGACTTGCAGTCAGATGTACATTGGGAGAACTTATCTTAAGCAATGCTTGTTTGCTCAGAAGAAGGAACTTCTTGTTTCCCTCCTGCACTGTTTTCTCCAGTGGAAACAGCAGTGGATGGCCTTAAACCTCTTCTCTGGTTACTATAGAAAGGACATGTGGAGTCAGAGAGGGGCTAAAAGCCCCTGCTGCTGTTTCTGCTGGCAAAAACAGGGCAGGAGGAAAACCAGAAGCTCCTTCTCCTCCTCTGTTGTGCTCCCTTGCAGCACTGAGCAAACAAGCACTGTTAAAGGTGAACTCCTCGAATGTAAGTCTGACTGCAAGTTGGGTTGCACACCTGTGGCATATTGTGCATCTTGGGCGTATTGTGCATTTTGGCTCTTAGAAGTCTATAATTATGTTCAGAACTCCACTGATAAAAGTATGTTGACTGGAGTGGGTTGCAGAGATCGTATCACTCCAGTCTTGGCCCATCTACACTGGCTCCCAATTTGCTTCCATGCCCAATTAAAGGGGCTGGTCTTGATATTTTTTGAGATGAGCATACATGAAAGATTGCCTACTCCCTTATGACCCCCCACCCACCCACTACTACAGTCATTTTTGGAGGCCCTGCTTTGGGTGCCTCCACCTTCTGAAATTAGGTGGGTGGCAACCTGGGACAGAGCCTTCTTAGCTGTTGCCCCAAAACCTTGGGACTCTACTCAGGGACATTCCTCTGCCCCTTTCTGTTGCCATCCTCTGCCAGCAGATGAAGACTTTTTTGTTTAGTTTGGTGTTGTAGGAATGCCTGCCCCATTACCTTAAATAATGTGCTGGGCTCTTCGTTAAGGTTGACACGAGTCACTACACGTCCAGAATCTTCTTCAACATCAAAGATACTTGCACTATAAGGGAACTGGACAACATCGACTTTATATCTCACTAGACTTGCTGGTGTCCCCTGCAAGAGAAACACATATTTCTATGGTATATGATATGTACTGTGGAAAAAATACGAAAGTATTTGAATACACCTCAACAGTTATTGTGTTGACATATTGGGCTTGGAATCCATGGTAAATCTCTGCTGACAGATTGAGAACTCCTGGGAACAGCAAGGGAGGCGAGTCAGAGGTCTGCAGCAGGAAGGGAGAAATGACAAAAATTGCCTCCTCTTCTAAAAGTTCTGAGGTAGTCAATCCTTCTCTTAAAAAAAAAAAGTTATACTGCATTTTACCTGTAACAGGTACTTCTGTATCTTCATATATATCAAAATATATTAAAGGAACATATTATGTGTCTATTTAGCTTATGTACAAAGTTAACAGAACGACAGTGTTTATCTGTTACGGAGATACTCAGGGCATTCTCCTGACAAATATGGCTATTCAGCATTCATCTGTACAGTTAATACTATCTCAACACAGTTTTGATTTTTTTTCATGCTAAAATTACCCTCAGTTTTCACAAGTTCAGCACAATCTTTTAGGTCTTCTTACCATATTTCAAGCTACAAGTGATCATATTGAGGAGTGCTTACAATCTCTTATCTTCATTGGTTGTAAACAGTGAGGCCAGAATTTAAGGAATTCCCTCAGTTGTAGGCAAACTTTTCCATATAAACACCAGAAATTCTATTTCTTTAGTCTAACACTTTACATTCTGTTGCTACATTTCCTCCTACTGAAATATGATATAGAGGTTCTGGATAACCACAACATTGTTCCTTTAAAACTTAACCTCTTCCGCTGCTAGTATATCTACTAAACAGTAGTTTACAAGAAAATAATGAAAGCATTTTCAAATATATCAGGCATACTATCATAGTCCATGACTCATGATTTGGGTTGTGGATTCTAAACCTTTAGCTGATAGAATTCACAATGACTTGGATTCAGAAGTAATGTCTCACATCATCCAAACCATGACTGAGAATATCAGGAAGGCACCGCATGCTCTTCATTCCTCTTTTCGCCCTTGCTTGCTACAATTTTGTCCCACTCTTCTTGAATTTTTATAGCAAAACATGTTTTGTCATTATACGTGATCATGCAAACTATGGTTTGTGCCTGACATTAAAGAGATGAGAAAAAAAAATATTTCCATGTGATAAGAAACGGGGGAGGGAAAGTCCATGACCTCAAATTTCTAAAACAAACAGTCAAATCATAGCATGACTTATAATGCACAGAAGTTTTCATAATATTTGTCTCTGGTGCCCATTTAGTGCCAAGCACAAATAACTAACTTAAGGGCATAATTATCAAATCGCTTACCCTGGTGTGCTCATATCCATACCACTGGGGTCTGATTCACACATTACTGAATACACGGGCCCCATTCCGTGTAAACATTCAGATGTGAATTGTCAGTAGTCAGTCCTCAATGTCCACATGCACCATGCCTAATTCAGAACCCCTCTCCACAAACATGAAGTTTCATGCAGTCTATATGATGTGAATTGGCCTTAAAGTCTTTCACAGGATGTAACTAGTTTATGTGCATTTAGATCCCCTTCAGGGATTTTTTTTCGAGGATTTTAACAGAAGAAGAAGAGAAGAAGAGATTGAATTTATACCCCACCATTCACTCGGTGCCTCAGAGCGGCTTACAAATGCCTTTCCTTCCCCTCCCCACAACAGACACCTAGGGTGGGGTTGAGAGAGCTCTTTCCAGAACTGTCCTTGAGAGAACAGCTCTGGCAGAACTATGGCTTGCCCAAGGTCATCCAGGAGCTGTAAGTGGAGGAGTGGGGAATCAAACCCAGTTCTACCAAATTAGAGTCTGCACACTTAACCACTACACCAAACAGCAGATGATGTTTCATAACAAACCTGCCAATTGTGTTAATAATCAACACATTTCCATTTCAAATGGATTCACAGAACAAAGATATTTTCCTCTGAACTAGTATGTAAGGTGACTTTACCCCATCATTTTAAGAATTCTTCTGAAAGTACTTCTGAGGGGTTTGATTGACAGAAATCATGTCTTGGAAAGTGAATATAACAAACATTTTCCAGAACACATTGATTATTGATCTTACCATGTAGAGATATACTTCGAGGTCATTTTCACAAAAGAAGAATCATGAGAGAAAGTGACCTTGTCAAAAACCGTCACATACAGACTTATGAAGTTTCACAGAACTAAATTTCCATTGTCAACCTGCATCCTTTTGAAGTACTGTGCCTCAAGAAAGAGAATTTATAAGCATGAAACTAAGCTGATAATTATTAAAATGTATCACCAGTTCAGCATATGTAACAGTTTTACACTGATAGATTCATGTTGGTAGTTGTGTTGCTCTGAAGCAGCAAAACAACGTTTGAGTCCAGTGGCACACTTCTTCAGATACAATAAAATGGAAATTACCAGTCCATACATATAGGTAGAGGGTGAGCAATAAATCAGTATAAAGCATTTGTTTCCTTCGCTATGTTTTCCCCCAGAGTTAAACCCCAACAAATGGTAACCTAAGCTTGTTATTCCTGTTTTTTGTTGTTGTTTAGTCACACAGTCGAGTCTGACTCTTCGTGACTCCATTGACCACATCATGCCAGGCCCTCCTGTCTTCCATCGTGCTCCAGAGTTTGCTTAATTTCATGTTCGCTGCCTCGATAACACTGTCTAACCATCTCATCCTTTGCTGTCCCCTTCTTCTTTGACCTTCAATCTTTCCCAGTCTTCTGCAGTGAGTGCTCCCTTCTCATTTGGTGGTCAAAGTATTTGAGCTTCAGCTTCAGTATCTGGCCTTCCAGGGAACAGTTAGGGTTGATTTCTTTTAGGATTGACTGATTTGACCTCCTTGCAGTCCAGGGGACTCTCAAGAGTCTTCTCCAGCACCATAGTTCAAAAGAATCTATTCTTTGGCGCTCGGCCTTCCTTATAGTCCAACTCTCACAGTCGTACAGTACTACTGGGAATACCATTGCTTGGACCATATGGACTTTTGTTGGCAGGGTGATGTCTCCACTTTTTATTATGCTGTCATGGTTTGCCATCGCTTTCCTCCCAAGGAGCAGGCGTCTTTTAATTTCATGACTGCAGTCACCATCTGCAGTAATCTTGGATCCCAGGAACATGAAGTCTGTCACTGTTAGTCCTTGAATATGTTAAACATCTTCATTATGCTGTATGCTAATTTATTGTTCACCCTCTTCCTATATATATATGGTCTGGTAATTTTCATTTCATTGTATCTGAAGAAGTGTTCATGCACATGAAAGCTTATACCTTGAATATAACTTAGTTGGTCTTAAAAGTGCCACTAGTTTTACACTGAGTTTTTAACATTATATCGGCCTCAGTCCTAACTATATTTTCTGTTGGTGGAAGTCTCTTCCAGCAGCTGAAACAAGAGTGGTATTTGCTGATTCTTCCCTTATACTGCAGTTGTTTGTTCTGTGGTGTGGGGGGTCCACCAATCTCTGGGGGCATGATTTTGGCAGGCTGCACTCAGGAAAGAGGCTGGAAAGTTCATCCTAAATAGGAACAATAGCCTTATATTTTAATATGTATAATTTGTATTAATGCTTGCTGAACTGTTATTTGTGGTAAGAAATTTTAGAAATATAGAAGGTTTGGGTTTAAAATGAACCAAATAGTTTATGAAATCCATATATATCTGTCTCTGCCCTTGCTAGCAAACAGGCTAGTCCTTTTTTCACTGAAGATGTAACACATTCCATTCCCAGGAAATTCCCAGGAAATCTCCACAGATGTGAGATTTGCCAATACCCCCAATTTCCTAGGCAATAAAATGTGTGGCCATTTAGGCAGCTGGCAGACTTCAATCCAAAAGACAATCTAACTTCCTGAGGTACAGGAGTTCACACACCCCATCTCAGCAAACATCAAAGGACAGTTTATTTCCCATGATTGGGGAACACCTGGAAGAAAACAATGACACTGTATTGATCCTGTAAAATGTGTACACTTTTGTTGTGTAAGACCAAGGAAAGGATGCAAATTTCCTGTAAGACAATTGCAACTTCTAAATGTTAATTTACAACTGTAATTTGATTCTTGTAATTTGATCTTTGGTATAAATACTGGTCAGATCCAACAGACTCTCGCTGACTCTTGGTAGGAGTCAGTCGGAGAGGCCACTCATTCTCTGCATGCCTTGGGTGGGGGAAAACTTTGTTTGCATGTTTGTTCTTCTATGCATTTACTATCAATGTTTAGGAAATAGGATTCAAGTTTTTTTCTATAATAAAGATAAGTTTTATTTTAAGAAGCGACCTTTCTGTGTCAGCGCTTAGTGGTTTCCAAACTTGCACCTTTCGCCTTTGGTAAGGAGGCATCACTTAGAAGATACACGAACTGAGGGGAGAGTGTGGGTGGCACGGGTAAACACGCTTTCACAGACACGTGCAGCCACACACATTTTTCTTACAACATTATTCACAGTAATGCTTCCAAGGGAACCACAAAACCATAAGGAAAATAAGAGAACATTGTGTTGTACATTCTGTCCACCCAAAAAAGCAAGTTGGAAGTTCTTTTTCCTTTTGCCCAATCATCAAAATCTAACATGTGAAAAGGCACTGAAGCTTCATTGAATTCATGCAAACTGTCTATGAGGCTCAAATGGAAGTTCAGAAAACAATCTATGAAATTCCAGACACTGATTCTGATTTTTGAAATAAATGTAAATGTTGATTTTACTTTCAGTAGTATATTATTTGTACTATTTTTCTTTTTTTTAAGTACACTGGTAAAAAAAAAATTAAAAAATTCATTCTTCATTATACACATGATATATTATTAGTCTCCATATATTTAATCTATTTGGATACTCCTTTTTTTTACAAAAATAGTTAACTTTTACAAAAATAATTAACTTTTACAAAAATAGTGACTTATCCACTCCAGTATGCTAAGTGCAACTTTCTTACAGTGGCCAGCAAAAATTAAGCATGCAACAGTAATAGCTAAATAAATAACAGTAACGAA